GTAGTAGAAGGCGTTACCGCTACCGATAAAATGGGCTGCTAAAGAGCTCATGATGCAGACACGACCCTTTCCACGAGGAACGAAGTGATGGGCCATGAAGTATTGTGAGAGCATCACTTGTTGGATGATATTCAGACGAATCTGAGCTTCCAACTTCTCCGGCTCGAGATTGACGATATCACACGAATACATACCACCAGCATTCAGAACAGCTAGGGTGACTGGAAGATCATCAACGGCAGCACGGAGTTTGGCAAGACCCTCATCACAGGACAAATCGCACGGAACAACGGCAACCTTGCAACTCGGACCGTAAGTCTTCACCAAAGTATCTTTCAACTCGTTTAACAACTTCTCGTTACGAGCGGCAATCACAAGACTCCACCCTGCTTTCGCCAACTTCATGGCAAACTGACGGCCCATACCCTTGGATGCACCAGTAACAACAGCATACTCCTCGCGAGAAGCTCTCACTGGCTTGAGGTTATAAGGATAACCCATATTGAAAATCGGGCCCTGAAGCTTCTGAACCACCCAGCATAGCGCCATACCAGTCAAAATGATAGGTGCACAAAGGAGCATGATTGCTATGATACTCAACCACTCGAGAAAGGTGAATGGATAAGCACCCATAGAGAGGACCACTGGTAAACTCTGCTTTTCAGCCATTATAAAAATCAACTGAGCAAATCCAGATGAGAAAAAGCGCCCTGCATCAGACCATGAAAAGGACTGTACACAAAGTGATTTTCAATCGAAACCAATCTCAGGCTAGAAGGGAGCAGGAGACAACTCAGTAAATAAAAAGCTAGGCTTTGGCTATCAGTCACCAACGTCCTCGGTTGAACCTCTTATCACGCTAGAATCGGACGAGGTAATTCAAAGCATAGGAAAGTAGGCTGCAGCTGCTAGGCAATGCCAGAAAATCTCTGGCAGAGATAGAGAGGAAAATCCGCAATCGAGGTTGATTTTGTGGTAGGGGACAGAAAAGGACAACTCGGGATACGGCAAGCTAGGCTATGGCTATCAGTCACTGCTAGCATTGATGGTCAGAGATGAAGGATTGCGCTCTTTTCAATGTGGAGCACTGGTTTGTTACTTTTACAGAGTCGCATGAATGGTCCTTGCGAAATGAGAAATTCTAATTGATAATCCTTTTGGTGCGAGTTGATATCTGTCATGACGAGCTGGAAGTTGATTGTACGAAAGCGATTCGTCCATGTCGCGCTTCATATTCGACAGAACTTTAAAAGGTTACATGAATCGATGTGAACTCGTTTTTTCACCAAGTTGAGTTCAGAAATAGGTTTCCCCCACAGAAGCTTCAATTTCGACGGTGTGCTATTTCGGGAACTTCAGTTCGACAGCGCATAGCTTCAGAAACTTCAATTTCCACGGCACAATGCAGGCAGTCCAATCTCGGCATAATGGTAACTCAATGTTGGAGCACGTTGGAACATCACAATCTCATTCTGTTCTCTTTCAACCTGTCTCTGATTTTCTTCCTACACCCTGAATGGGAGATGGGTGGCCACCAGGTGCAGTCGCCCCTCTCGTGCTGCCATCCCCATCGGCTTCCCCCTCTTCCCCTTCCCTACTCTCACCATGGGTCAGGGAGCTCCACGTCTCCGGGAGACCGGCGCTAGAATTGACGAACTATACGGACATCAATTTAGCGATGAAGGTTGAATAGGGAAATCAATTTCGCGAATAAAGACATCAATTTCATGATTAAGGAATGCAACTTCACGAGCAAGGACATCAATTTCGGGTAGGAGCTCCTGAATACGTCATAGAATTTCTAATTCAGTCAAACGCATACTGGAACCTTCATTCTCTGCCCTCCAGAAAATCGATCTCGTTGCTCGTAACTTCAGATATCCCACTCCTGGTCGCGTGGG